AGTACCTTAAAAATACATAAAACCTCACAAAATTACATCCCCAGATAACCCCCTATCAGGGTGACCAACATTTCCAAAAATCACCCAGATCGGATCAGGAATTTCCTGGAAGTCATAATTTGACCGACCGCACGTATGATCCCCTAGCCGAAAATAGTTCAATAGAATCGCGGCTAAGTGCCGCTGGGGACCCACCAGAAACTGCGAAGTCTTTATGCCGAAAATAGTTCCAGGGATTTCGCAGCTAAGTATCAGGTATGTCCACGGTCCTTAAGGACCGTTTTCTATCGCACATACCTGATACGTCCGTAAAAAAAACACCGTAAAAACTGTTAATGGGGGCTACTGTTGTACTCATGACATTTCAGACAGTCCCCCTCCTGGTAGATCCACAGCTCTTTGAGAGCTCTTTGCCTGGGCTATCCGGCAGTCTGCCCGAAGAGGATTACGGCGTTCTATGCCGTCCGGTAACGGCTTTTTAGGGGTTAAGTTAACCATAGGGAATATGTGCTCCCAGGTTTCAGTTCTTGTATTCCAGCTGGTAAAGGACACGGCTTGGCACATTAATTACAGATGGACATTCATAGTGAAGTGAGAAGATGGCATTTACCCTGTTGCAATCCCCTTTGAGGAAACTCGTCAAAATAAGCAACTGTATTTACCCTGAGTTTACCAACCAGGATATACCATCCAACATTTCAAGTGAAAAGATAGGTACTCTAACATTATGGGTCTGAGTGGGGATTTGGCCAGGATTGGGGACATGTTTTGAGACATTTTAGGTGACTTACTAATAACAATTTTTGCAAATAAAATGGCATTTAGAACAAGAACAATGTATCTTATTTACACAGACTGATTTCTAAACACATTTATTGTAGTTTAACCCCTTCCCGACCAAGGACGTATCAGGTACGTCCGACAAAAAACAGGAATTAAAGCTCCTCCGGGTTGCTGGTAGTGAGGCAGAGCATCGGAAGCCGTCAGGCAGGCTTCCGATGCTCTGCCAGTACTTAGTGCCTCGAGGGGTCGAGGCACTCAGTAAATATAATTTTTTTTTTTTTTAAATAAAATAGTTAAATAATAAAAATATAAAAATGTAACCCCTATGTACTTCCTCCCCATGTACTTACCAATCGCCGCTGTTCCCCCGCCGGCGATCGGTCTGCTTCTTAAGGGGGAACAGCTGGGCTCAGCCCAGAAAGTCCCCCCTCTCCAATTTAGGACCCCCAGGGTCCTCCAGGCTGCTAAAAAGTAAAAAAAAAAAAAATATATATATATATATATATATATCATACATGTATATGTATAATATATTATAATTAAATCATTTTATAATATATTATACATATATAATGCATATATATGATTTCATTATAAGTGTACTTTGAGATATATACATATATATCTCAAAATACACTTATAATGAAATCATATATATGATTATATATGTATAATATATTATAAAATGCTTTAATTATAATATATTATACATATATAAGAAATAAAAGTGAGTGTGTGTGTATATTTATATACACACACACACACACATTATATACATACAGGGAGTGCAGAATTATTAGGCAAATGAGTATTTTGACCACATCATCCTCTTTATGCATGTTGTCTTACTCCAAGCTGTATAGGCTCGAAAGCCTACTACCAATTAAGCATATTAGGTGATGTGCATCTCTGTAATGAGAAGGGGTGTGGTCTAATGACATCAACACCCTATATCAGGTGTGCATAATTATTAGGCAACTTCCTTTCCTTTGGCAAAATGGGTCAAAAGAAGGACTTGACAGGCTCAGAAAAGTCAAAAATAGTGAGATATCTTGCAGAGGGATGCAGCACTCTTAAAATTGCAAAGCTTCTGAAGCGTGATCATCGAACAATCAAGCGTTTCATTCAAAATAGTCAACAGGGTCGCAAGAAGCGTGTGGAAAAACCAAGGCGCAAAATAACTGCCCATGAACTGAGAAAAGTCAAGCGTGCAGCTGCCACGATGCCACTTGCCACCAGTTTGGCCATATTTCAGAGCTGCAACATCACTGGAGTGCCCAAAAGCACAAGGTGTGCAATACTCAGAGACATGGCCAAGGTAAGAAAGGCTGAAAGACGACCACCACTGAACAAGACACACAAGCTGAAACGTCAAGACTGGGCCAAGAAATATCTCAAGACTGATTTTTCTAAGGTTTTATGGACTGATGAAATGAGAGTGAGTCTTGATGGGCCAGATGAATGGGCCCGTGGCTGGATTGGTAAAGGGCAGAGAGCTCCAGTCCGACTCAGACGCCAGCAAGGTGGAGGTGGAGTACTGGTTTGGGCTGGTATCATCAAAGATGAGCTTGTGGGGCCTTTTCGGGTTGAGGATGGAGTCAAGCTCAACTCCCAGTCCTACTGCCAGTTCCTGGAAGACACCTTCTTCAAGCAGTGGTACAGGAAGAAGTCTGCATCCTTCAAGAAAAACATGATTTTCATGCAGGACAATGCTCCATCACACGCGTCCAAGTACTCCACAGCGTGGCTGGCAAGAAAGGGTATAAAAGAAGAAAATCTAATGACATGGCCTCCTTGTTCACCTGATCTGAACCCCATTGAGAACCTGTGGTCCATCATCAAATGTGAGATTTACAAGGAGGGAAAACAGTACACCTCTCTGAACAGTGTCTGGGAGGCTGTGGTTGCTGCTGCACGCAATGTTGATGGTGAACAGATCAAAACACTGACAGAATCCATGGATGGCAGGCTTTTGAGTGTCCTTGCAAAGAAAGGTGGCTATATTGGTCACTGATTTGTTTTTGTTTTGTTTTTGAATGTCAGAAATGTATATTTGTGAATGTTGAGATGTTATATTGGTTTCACTGGTAATAATAAATAATTGAAATGGGTATATATTTGTTTTTTGTTAAGTTGCCTAATAATTATGCACAGTAATAGTCACCTGCACACACAGATATCCCCCTAACATAGATAAAACTAAAAACAAACTAAAAACTACTTCCAAAAATATTCAGCTTTGATATTAATGAGTTTTTTGGGTTCATTGACAACATGGTTGTTGTTCAATAATAAAATTAATCCTCAAAAATACAACTTGCCTAATAATTCTGCACTCCCTGTACGTATTATATGTATATGTGTGTGTGTCTGTATATATATATATATATATATATGCCATTTGAGAAAGCCTTTTTGGTGAAACGCGTAATGGTGATTTTATACTGTGTATTTTAGATCAATTAAAGGTCTTTGGTTACTCTACTGTGCCAATTTCCGTTTTATTGTATTTTAATGCACTTTTGCTATTTTTACTTACCTTAAAGAAAGCCCAGGTGAGAATCATACCACCAACGCCTTATTAATAGAGCAGTATTTCCTGCTCTACACCTGTAAGTATTACTCTAGTCCCTTTTTCTTACTTTTATCCAATTGAGAGCACTATTGTCGCCTCTTTTTATTTCCCCTGGAGCTTCGGATGACCAGATGGCGCTGATAGACGCATTTCCTTTACACATCCTAGCAGCGCGTATATACCGTTGTACGCCCTTCACATCAGAGCTGGCCATAGTTCTTTTAAATGTGAGTTTTCTACCTTTTACTACTATTCTACCCTTTGGATTTTAGATGTACTGAACTACAGGTTGCCCCGTTTCTTTGTTTTTCATATATACAAATACCCTAGGACACACCCACCCCTACTAAAAAACTACTCCTCAATATCCCATCAAGCATTGTTGCTCTAGTGAGACTCTTTTGGACTATTTTACATTATTTTACTTTTTCTGTGGGCGCAGCCCTACCTCATCTCTTTGTATCGTCTCATCTTTTGAAGGATCTCCTTCGTTTGGGTTGCTGCCTATCTACATATTGTTTGTTAATTAGCGCTGATTTCCTTTTGTTATATATATATATATATATATACACACACATACATACATACACACGTATTATGTATGTGTGTATATATATATATATATATATATACATACATACATACACACGTATTATGTATGTGTGTGCATATATATATATATATATATATAATATATAGATGTAAAAAACAGATAAAATTCTTATCTTGTAATACCTTTTTTATTGGACTAACAGAATTTTTTTAATGACAAGCTTTCGGGAGAACCTCCCTTTCTCAAGTCTGAAGCATTTCTGAGCAAAACGACACATAGAATTCAAAGTTGAGTTGTGATACAGGGGTTAAAGCGACATGAGTGTAGATAAGACACAGGTTTGTTAGAAAATAGACACCATCTTAGCAGAGGGTCATAAATATCTTGTTGAAGAGAAGAGTAGGGGGGAGAGAGGAAAAAGAAAAACAAACAAGCAGACAGTGCACAGGATGATACACTTTATACATGCACACACACAGAAATATGTATATGTGAACGCATAAACATATGTATATATACATAAACACATATACATACATGCACATGGACTCATATACACAAATATAAATGCACAGTAATATATATAAGCATTCATGCATACGAGTATGGGAAAGCATAGGTCTACACATAGTACTTTGTATATAGATAGAATAAACATATAGGAATGCATTTTAAAGTGTTGGTACATATGACAGAACAGTAAGATAATGCTGGGAGAGTGTTCATGTAAAGTGTTGGTAGTGGGACAGGAATCCCAAATCAATATTTAGTCCTCTCTTCTTGCTGTTAAACCATTTAATCATTCTGGCTTCAGAGGCTTTTCTTTCCTGGGTATTTTTAAAACCCCCTTTCAGTACTTTGATTTTTAGGTCCTTCAGTGAGTGGCCAGGCTGGGTAAAGTGGTGTCCCACAGGAGTGCAGTATGATTCTTCTTTGTGGTGTTTAATAGAGTGTCTGTGCATATTCATTCTGCCATTTAGAAGAATCATACTGCACTCAATGTAGCATCCTAGGTGGCATTTTATGCATTGAATCATGTATACCACATTGCTGGATGTGCAGGAGTATGAACCTTTAATGCTGTAGGTTTTATTGTTGTGTGTGGCTGTGTTGTCTGTGCATATGTGCTGACACAGTTTGCAGCGAGGTTTTTTGCATTGACTGGTCCTGTTTTCTTCGTTCTTACCATCAGTGGGCAGCCTCCTGTTGATTAATTTTTTTTGGAGGTTTGGTGGTTGTCTGAAGGCCAAAATGGGTGTTTCAGGGAAAATGTTTTTCAGAGTCTCATCTTCTGTTAATATTGGTTGTAGGTCTTTGATGATTTTCCGTATTTCCTCAAGAGCAGGGTTGTAGGTGACCACCAGTGGCACTCGTGTGCATATTTTTTTCTCTCTGTATTGTAGCAGGCGCATACGTGGCGTTTTTACAGCAGAGTTGATTTGTTTGGTAATAGTCTTTGGTTTGTAGCCTTTCTGTCTCATAGATTGGGAGAGTACATTTAGATGGGAATTACGGTCATTAGGATCAGAGCATATGCGATGGTACCTAGTGGCTTGGCTGTAAATGATGCCCTGTTTAGTATGAGAGGGGTGGAAGCTGGAGCTGTGTAGGTAACTGCACCTGTCTGTGGGTTTTCTGTAAACCGAGGTGTGGATTGTGCCATTATTACATGTCACAGTTGTGTCCAGAAAATTCACAGATCTAGTGGAATATTCAATTTTTAGTTTGATTGATGGATGGAATGTGTTGAAAGAGTCATGGAACTGTATCAGTTTTTCTTTGCTTTCAGTCCAAATTATGAAGATATCTCTACTATATATATATATATATATATAACTTTACATCACTTTAAGGCATTTTGTGTATCACTGGCCTTTTTGTTATTCCATTACATATCATATATAACGCTGGTTAAATATAGGCCACGGCCTCCCTCATCCATGTTCTTTTCTATTTTACACCATCATATATTCCCCACTGTTTTATACAGAACTGTGCATTAAGACACGGCATCACTTTGCCTTAGTAACACATTTATACTCTAATGGTATATCACTACACTTTTTACCAAGTAACACGCCAATCAAGCCTTAAAAAAAAAAAACATCACTGGTACGGGCTACACAGTCTACTTCATTCCCACACAGTCCACACTCACTATACTACTCTCTTTTACCCATTTTCAGGCTGTCCAGGTTTAAATAGATATTTCACCACACGGTTTCTTGTGAGATATTCATACTACCAGGTACGTACACATGCTCATATGGTATTCTGCCATACATTTCATTTCTCCCCCTCTAGGTTAGAGGACTGGCAATAGGATCATAGGCTTCCCATTAGGTATTTACCCCTCTTGGCATTGCCATGAGTTAGTGGTTCCGCGAGGCCAACACCCCACCTCAACGTTTCAGAGGCAATAACCCATCGGGCCACACGTTAGCTAGCCGCCTCGCATGTTGCATAGAGAGGGCCTCACCTGTCACTCCCTTTCCTTGTTTTCTATGTTACAGTCACCAAGAGGCCTAAAATTCCTGCCACTACGACGGGTGGCCACAAATCCCCTCGCGACAACGCATAGATAGAGCCTCTCAAGCCCCTTGGCAACTAGTAGGGCCTCACCTGTCACCAAACAAGTGTAATATTTCGCCATCCGGCTTAGCTAGCCTGCCAGTACGATTTTGTGTGGTTTTTCATACACTAATTAATTGTTTTGGTTATAGTATGTCTCAGGAAGGGGTAGAGGATTTCTCCCCCCCAGCACTCCGGCTAGAGCTATCACTCCTACACAAGGAGGAGAGGTAAATAGTCCGGCATCGATCAGATCCTTGACGATCCCTCGTATAACTACCGAATTAAGGAGACGACAAATCCCCTACCCCGCTACAGCAAGGAAAGCAGAACTTTTCAAACTACTATGTACATCAAATAACATGGATCCCGGTGAAGGACCTAGCCAGTCCAACCCAGGAGACATACATTCCATGTTATCCTCACTCATGACGTCCATGAGCAAGGTCAACTCCAGGTTGGAGAAACTTGAGTCGGTCACCACGGCCCTTACACTAGCAGGGCCGCCCGCTGCTGCTTCACAAGCACCAGCTGACTTGCTATTGCTTCCTCCAACCATCACATCGGATGACCAGGAAGTTAGCCCTGCTCATATGATCCTTGAGCACTTAAAAAGAGATATCCTGGAAAGTAAAGACATCAACCTAGCTTCCCTGCTGATTGCCTCCCAGGATATTGTGGAAAATAAGACTTATGCTTATGATGATGTGTCTTTTGTTGTCAGATCTAGGGACGCCCGCCTAAACAGGAAACTGACTATCCCCGAGTTTGTACTGGCCTTTGGTATTTACTGGGATGTCATCTGTGCGGTCTATCCCAATAGAAGAGAGGAGTTTGATCTTTATATGTACAAGCTGGTAGACCTGGGCAATAAATATGGTGGTTCAGCCTTTTATGACTACCATAGGTCTTTTTCTGCAAAAGTGTCTGGAGCGTTCTCCCAGTATGGAACAAGATCCAACTGGGGAAGGATAGATACCGTCATATTTTGCAGAGACTTTGCAGGTCTGAGAACACCGGCTTGTGCATACTGCTCCTCTACAGCCCATACGACAAATTTCTGTCCCAACACGGCTGACGAACATGCCTCCACGCAAGGAGCTAGTTCCTCTGGTGTCCCAGAAAAAGTGACCAGAGACAAACTGGGACGCCCGATCAAGTTCCTGGGCAAGTCCCAGATATGTAATAATTTCAATGTTGGGTCTTGTAATTATAGCGGTTGCAGATTATTGCATATTTCTTTAAAATGTTTTAGGGCACATGCAAAAACCAAATAAAATGTATTCTAAGCCTTACCTCACGTCCATTAATATGCTGGTGTTTACTGCATTTATGTCACATAACCCGTCTAAACACTTGGTGGACTTTCTTATCTCTGGTTTAACAGAAGGCTTCCACATGGGTATTCTACACATACCGAAAGATACAAATACAGAGTCCGAGCGTGTCACCCAAAGGAATACCAAGTAACTCACAAAACACCCGTGTGGCAACCTCTCTTATCCACACTAAAACAACATAGAAATATATACATACATAGTGGGTGGGGTATCTAGGTCCAGGGTAACCGATGGTAGTACATATACAGATATAGATGGAATAGCTGTAAAAATACAATAGTAGACAGGCACCTAGTGCAATATCGTACAGTATAAGACTAACACAGTATAGAACCAATATTGTTGTACTCACAAGGAGAGAGCCAGGAAGTTATGGCTCAATCTAGGCGCCCGTGGGATAATCAAAAGGGATCCCACTCCCTTTATATGTGTGGGTGGTCCTGTGTTGGTTCCAAGAAGGAATGTCCACATCAATTGTTATTAGGGACTAAGTGACTTTTAATAATCAAACAAAAATAAAATATAAAATATGAATAAAATAGCAATAAAGTGCAATAGTAAATAAGTCCTCTGTGGGATGCAAGACGCGTTTCGCCTAAGTCCTAGGCTTCCTCAGTTGCTGTTGTTACCTTCTACTGGTGCTCTTTTATGTCCAGTGTGTTCGGCAAATTCATCCGTTTCATGTTGGTGCGATGTTTTCACTTCCGGTCGCATGTCCATGAAGTACTTCCGGTTCGCGGCTTCTACATTTAATCACTATTGGAACGCATATGCGTTCCACTCGTATGCAAGTGCGTTCACTTCCGGTCGCATACTTGTGACGCACATCCAATACGCCACTTCTTCATTCAAATCGTTTATTGGAACGCATGTGCGTTCCACTTTTGTAAAAACTTTGTTATTCATTTTGTCTATTGGGTATTGAATCATAAACTCAAATTTCCATAAAACAGAGAGAGATTAAAAATGTCATACATGGGCAAAAATAGTACAATATCTAAAAAAAGAGAATGTTAATCCATCAATATTAAGAAAGTATTAAAAATAAAATGGAAATTAGATTAAAACATAATAGTTTTAAAAAAGATTTATATATAATATGTTAAAAGATAAGCACCACATATACACTTCATGTTAAAAGAATAAAATATAGCTATGTGTTAAGAAAGTGGCATATTTCAAAATCTAAATTAAGCCCATTTGGTATCAGAGTATTAAAATTAAAGATAAATTTCATTTCTTCTTTCCCTAACTTTTTTATATAATTACCTCCC